GAGGTGATTGGTGGAATTCTGGTGTTGTGCGCAGACATTGTTCAAGTTATGATTCCTAGATATGTTAATGTGTTCATGAGGCATGTTTTGAGGTTCCTTGCTGTTTCACCTACATGTATCCTGTCACAGCTTCCACAAGGTATAGTGTAAACTCATGTATTGACTTGTTCATGGTGGTTCGATTTTATCTTGGTTAGATCCCTTATGGAACTGCTGGATGCAATGGCGACTCTAGTGCTAGTTTGTGCAAGTACATACCTTGGAAACTCTCAGTGCAACCTGGCTGTTGGGAAGGATTATAACTTTGATAGGAGTGGTGTTGGTGTGTGGAGAATTGATGATCTGAAGAGCTCTTTTCTTGCAGTCTTTGATGAAAAGGAAAGGAAAATGTAGATCAGTGCAGTTTTGGTGTATGTAAGTACATTACTCGTCAAGAAACTCAGGACTACAAATTCAGTATTCTCTTGGGAAAAATCCGATGGTGGTGCATCTTTTGGTCTTAGTATCTTGACTGGAATAGAAGTGGGCGAGATCATTTTTGTTGGTAGGTTTACGGTAAACTTGAAATCTTAGATTATCTACTTTGTGAATGAGGGCGTATAAGAATGGTAGCTTGTCATTGGACTCTTCTTCTAGTGTAAACTGGATAGCCAGTTCAACTGCGTTGAGCCTTGCCTGAGGATTCCACACCTCAAAACGTTTGGGAGTTATTATGAGGACGTCGTCCACATAACATAAAAAGTGACACTGGTGAAGTGTTCAGCTTCCAAGTGCTCCATATACAAGTTGGCTAAGATGGTGCTAATGAGGCACCCCATTCCCATACCATAGGTTTGTTTGTAGAGCCTGTTATTGAAAGAAAAGTAATTGAAATTAATGCAGAACTCAATCAAGTCGACAAAATCTCTGGGAGGTAGAGGAAGATTAAAGTCCTGATTGACTTCACGTCGTAGAACGTCAATGGCTTGTTGGGTAGGTAGTTTAGAGAAGAGAGAGGTTACGTCCAAACTACTTAGTGTCTTGTTTAGGATGGAGAGGTTTCTGATGTGCTTGAGAAGGTCGCCTGAATGCTTAAGATGAGCGGGGCTGATGGTCCCAGAAGGAAGGAAAGATGTTTGACAAGAACTCCAGTTAGTTTGTGTGGTGCACTGCCTATACCTGATGTGATTGGTCTGAGAGGAATATTATGTTTATGGGTCTTGGGTAAACCATACACTGATTCAGGGTTGCTGGGTAACAAGTACAGAAATTTCTTCCCTTCATTAGTGCTTTTGAGTATTTGTCTGGTTTTGTATAGGAAATCTTTGGTGAGTATCTCCCACTGTTGTGTGCTGATGGGTTTGTATGTAGACTGATCATTCAAAAGGTCCATCATTTTGGTGTTGTAGTCACTGGTGTTGACGATAATATTCGGGTCATTGGCGAGGTCCTTAAGGACAGTGATATAATGTCTAGGAAGATTAGTAGAAGGCAGATCACATAAAGCTGCAGTGAGAATGCAACAGTGACTACAACACCAAAATGACAGACCTTTTAAATGATCAGTCTACATACGAACCCATCAGCACTCGACAGTGGGAGACACCAAAGATTTCCTATACAAAACCAGACAAATACTCAAAAGCACTAATGAAGGGAAGAAACTTCTGTACAGTGGACCCCTGCTTAACGATCACCTCCCAATGCGACCAATTATGTAAGTGTATTTATGTAAGTGCGTTTGTACGTGTATGTTTGGGGGTCTGAAATGGACTAATCTACTTCACAATATTCCTTATGGGAACAAATTCGGTCAGTACTGGCACCTGAACATACTTCTGGAATGAAAAAATATCGTTAACCGGGGGTCCACTGTAGTTTGGACATAACTTCTCTCTTCACTAAAGTACCTACCACACAAGCCATTGACGTTCTACAACATAAAATCAATCAGGACCTTAATCTTCCTCTACCTCCCGGAGATTTTGTCGACTTGATTGAACTTTGCATTAATTTCAATTGCTTTTCTTTCAATAACAGGCTCTGCAAACAAACCTATGGTATGGGAATGGGGTCCCCAATCAGTGCCGTCTTAGGAAACTCGTATGTGGAGCACCTGGAAGCTGAACACTTCAACATCAGCATCACTTGGTTATGTTATGTGGACAATGTCCTCATAATAACCTCCAAACGTTTGGAGGTGCAGAATCTTCGGGCAAGGCTCAATGCAGTTGAACTGGCTATCCAGTTTACACTAGAAGAGTCCAGTGACAAGCTACCTTTATAGATGTCCTCATTCACAAAGTAGATAATCTAAGATTTCAAGTTTACCGTAAACCTACCAACAAAAATGATCTCGCTCACTTATATTCCAGTCAAAATACTAAGACCAAAAGATGCATCACCATCGGATTTTTCCTAAGAGAATACCGAATTTGTAGTCCTGAGTTTCTTGACGAGGAATGTACTTGCACCAAACCTTCACTGATCTACATTTTCCTAACTTTTTCATCAAAGACTGCAAGAAAAGAGCTCTTCAGATCATCAATTCTCCATGCACCAACACCACTCCTAACAAAGTTATAATCCTTCCCAACAGCCAGGTTGCAATGAGAGTTTCCAAGGTACTCGCACAAACTAACACTAGAGTCGCCATCGCATCCAGCACCTCCATGAGGGATCTAACTTAGACAAAATCAAACTACCATGAACCAATCAATGCAGGAGTTTACACTATAGTAGGTGAAACGGTAAGAAACCTCGAAACATACCTCAATGAACGCATTAATGCATGCAGGAATGATAACTTGAACATTCAATACTGGAATTCCACCAATCAACTCATAAAATTCAACAGCACCCGACTAGTGATCAGAGAACCCAACTTCCACAGACATAAAAGCCTTGAATCATCATTAATCATAGTTTCTAACACGAGCAAACGCTGTATAGTCCTTGTGGCTTAGCGCTTCTTTTTGATTATAATAATAATAATAATAACACGAGCAAAATAAAGGCAGCTTCATCTCTAAAGTATCAGCAAAAAATCCTCCTCAAAACAATAAACCCTGCCATCACAGTCTCTGCTGCTAATACTACACAAGAACATAACAGAGGAGGAACACTGAAACAGACCGTCTCAAATTCAACTGCTATTTTTATGCTACCCAAGTAATAGCTTTTTACCTTTTACTCATGTGCAAGTTGATTGTTCTACCATACTGTATTATTACTACTACCAGTAGCATTACACCTCATTCTAAGCCCATATATACCCTACATGTCCATGTATTGTTGGTAACGCCTTGATGAACCTCCTGGAGAGTGAAACGTTGCCACAATAAATGTCACATTAGTTGAACTTGTGTCCTTTTACCGAACACACTGTCGGTATTTCTACCAACATTTATACAAAATGTGACATGAAGTCTGGTAGGGGGGTGGAGCTTAGGTTTATGTTTATATGAATCTTGGATAATGTACACAATGGATGCACATCAGCCAATATATACATTCCATTGTTTGATATGGTGGATCACTGCTGCTTCGAAAATTGTCTCTAGGCTTATTCTCATGGTATAGCTATTGTGCTTTACTTCTCTCCATGTGAGGAGGAGGGTTGCATGTGTTGGTTTTACCCCTCCTGCAAGCATATTTGTTCCTGTGTCTGAAGGTCTTGGCCAGTCGCCCCAATGTAGAATTTGTGGCATCTACTACACAGTCTGCTGTGCAAGTAGTTCTGGATCTAGGCTTCTAATGATCTCTTTGATGGTTTTGGCAGTAAGAACTGCTACATCCACATTGGTTTTTGGAGAATTGGGGCAGTGGTGATGGTAGTCTGCCTTGCGAGGAAGAACCTTTCCTCTATCCACGTTTGTATCCTCTTTGGGTATTCCATGTATGAGGTAGCCTTTTTGTTTGTAAGGAGTGGACAATGTGTGTTGGGAACTTTAAGTGGGTCAATATCTCCTCCATGTTTTCTTATTCTTATAAAACATATATATTACTACAAATCTGGAGTGCTTGGAGGAAGATACTTATGGTAACTTCCTGCTTTGTTATAGGTTTCCTCCTCTGAGCACTCCAAATTGGCAGTGATAATATTAAGGCTGCATTTACCAACACACATTCACCTCTACAAACAGAAAGGCTGCCTCATATACAGAACACTTAAAGAGGATCTAAACATCAACAGAGGACTGGTCCTCCCCACTAGGCAGACTGCCATCACCACTGACCTAATTTTCTGAAATGCCAACACGAATGTAGCAGTTCTTATTACCAAAACTATCAAAGAGATCACCAGAAGACCTAGACCCAGAACTACTTGCACAATATGAATCTATAGCATACCATACAGTAGATGCGATAAATTCTACATTGGGGAGACCAACCGAGTGCTTCAAACATGCCTTCAAGAACATAAATATGCCTGCAGGAGGAATAAAATCAACATAGTCCTTCACAACCTACATTTTTACATCATGGTGAGGAAGAGCACATCAGTTATACCAAAATAATGACAGGGCCAGATACTGAATTTTGGAAGCAACAGTGATCCATCTCGCCTAACAGGGGAATGTATATGTTGGGTGGACCTAGTGCCCGCATTGTCCACGATTCCTACAATAAACAAAATAAACCTGTCACCTTAGCCCCGCCCCCTCTCACCAATACCTGTCCTCGCTCTCACAATTTTTATGACTTCACACGTGATCCGTCTTTTCCTGACCTCAGGGTACTCGTTAGCCTTATAGGATGGTATATTTGTGGTATTAAAAATATTCTCTGCTACTAGTGTATTTCCACCTGTTGGATTTGTCATTGTCTACCTAGGTATTGTAAATATTATTTATGAAATAAAGTAGATTCATACTTTTAGTAAGCTAACAACTATACAACATTGCATACATTAATGTCTTCAGTTACACAGTCAATTCAGCCTCCCCAAAATTATAGTCATATTTACACTTACTTTAAGAAAATATGTTATCACAGTGTTTGGTATTTTATAGGATACATTATGTATCGAGTTTTATTTATAATCTTTTTATACCACAATAACAAGAGGAGAAAAACAGCATGCTAAATCCTTATCATACAAATTTACAAATAAAATTACTATCCCAATAATTTAACCAAACTATTTGTTGGCATTTTCATCAACTTTTCCACTCTGCTCAGAGGTTAAGAGGTTACTCAAGTACTTATTTGTCGACATTGGTGATGAAACACCTGGGGTGGCCATCACTGTACTGGGAGTAGCAATAGTTGGTGCAATCATAACTGAAGGGGATGTAGGCTCCTGGGGTGTAATAGTGGGTAACGTTGGTGGAGTAGAAGCGGCAGCCAGGAGAGGCGAGGAATTTCTCGATCCTGATTCAGTGTTAGACTGTGTTGTCTCTCCAATGCTGATGAATGGATTGATCTGTAAATATTGATGAAATATAGTGTAGCTATTTTTGCTATTAAGCATTACAATAAGTTTGAAAACTTTAAAGTGATAATGCTTAATGATTCTTCATCACTAAAGAGTGTAATTTTGAAGTTGAAACCAAATGTAAGCCAATTTATGAAAATATAATATTAAATACAACTGTAAGAATTGAGGATGAAGCAACTCCAATCACAGAATGTAGTATGGTTCTGTGCTAACAAGAGCAACAGAACATGCAAAGGTTTTCAGGTTACTTCACACTAACTCATAATGTGGAACAAATACATTTATCCTCAACATGAGTTTACAGACAAATCAATGAAATAACTTATAATTAAAACTCAAGATGACATTCTCACTTTACTAGCAGCTTGAGCCTTGGCTTGAGCTTTCTTTTCTGCTTTCTCAGTGGTCTGCTGAGCCATCTGAACAGCTGGGAGGCGAGCCTGGGGCCGTGGGTTGGATTCATCCTCCAGGAATCTGATGAATGCTTGAGAGAGGGACTGTAGAAAGAGGCATCTTCTTAATCAATATGTCAAGTAACATTTAGCAGTTTTTTCAGCAAGAGAAATTAAAGAACTATGTAATCCACATGTATCATCATTCAATTCTGTTTAGTCAACCTTATTTAACAGTAAAAAATGTATCATGCCAAAACACTTGAAACAAAGACCAACATGCAGATTCTTTCAAGACTCACTGTATGGTCCAGAACATCAACTTTTGATGTAACACGGACATTACTAGCTGGTGGGGCAAGGAAGTTTGCTATTGATGATAGCCATGAAGTTCCATGCATGTCCAGTCCTGTTCGAGAACGCTCCTCCCCAGAAAAGTCCAACACCTCGGCAATAATTCTGAGTACTTCTTGACGTTTGTCTGCTGGGGTTGCAAAGTAACCCACAAGCAGATTACGTAGAAGGGGTCTGTTGATATTCATTTTTATAGATTTTATTTAATAAAAAATTAAATAAGATATAAACAGTAACTAAATACCATCACAAGCCAAAACTCAATGTTTTAGGTATGCACATATTAAGCAGTGACATTAATTGAACTGAGTCTAAAGAATGTTTCCTATTCCCCAGGAGCTGTATAACCCCTATGGGTTCAACGCTTCCCTTATGAATATAAAAATAATAATGTATATATGTAACTTTAAGAGCACTTCACAACTATACAAGACTGCAAATAGTTACAGTACTGCACATAGCTATACTACTACTACACACAGCAATAACAATACTATTACATATACAGTACTGTACTAGTGTATATTGAAGAAGTCCCTGGTGGACAAAACATTGCCTTAATAAATGTCTTAAGTTTTATATGTGCCCATTTATGTAAGCATAAAGTACTAAATAACAAAAGGGCACAATACCGTGACTGGAACAATACCCAAATAACCCACACATAAAGTACTATACTTATAGCTTCCTCTTTTACAACATTCAGTATTACTTATAAAGTACAAACAGAACAAAAAAAAGTTATTTTATGATTACTCACTTATCAACCTTTGCGTCTGAGGACGACTTAAGACAAATAACTTCGTCACGTGCCTTGCGGGCAACCTCTTCCTGGGATGTCACTATTGGTACCAGGAAAAAGGGAAAACTTAGCTAATATTTGTGATGTATACCACAACTGGCTCTGGTGCTATATGCACTGGTTGCATTGTTAATGTTTTCATAAGCAATGACTGCTGACTGTAAAACATGTGCCAATAGCAGAAACTAATTAAACATTATATTTTCTGGAACATTAACAATTACTGATAGCACAGATAACCTTACTAGTATTATACATTTGTGAAATATGATTAACCACTTTATAAATTTATTTTTTTCCATCATATTCACTCTACTTGGGATTGAAAAAAAGCTAATGTAATGAAAAGCATAAATACACAATTTATATTTAATTTTTAAAGAAATTTATCATTGATCAATTATAAATTATGGCAATATTTAAATATGCAATTTTTATTTTTTTTTTTAAGAATTCTCTTTAAATTTATTCCATTTTGAAATCCTTGAAATTCTATACCATATGTTAATTGTGTCATAGTCACCAATGATTTAGAGTACATATCTAATTTTTCACTTCTTGAAAGAAGAATTAAGCACCTACACCACCACCAAGGACAACTTATAGCTAAATGTTACTGATGATATGATTACTTTGTTCTTGTATTGATGCACATGATATCTGCAGTTTGAATTCATTTGTAATCATATCACTTTTAAGCAAATGTACTAACTGAAAGCATTAACAATTATGCACATAATATATCAGGCAATTTACTGTACTGTAGAGCATTCCAAAGAAAATCAACATAGTATATACAGTATATCACAATATATAACAGGTGTATTTCAGCTCGCAATCATTAACACAATGTAAAATAGCAAGTACTGTAATGCATTTTGAATTATTAAATTAATAATTGAAATACCTAAGAAAATGTTGGATATTCATCCATAAATACCTTCATACCCACCAAAAGATCCAATGATAAACCTGCGATGTGTCCCAGGCTACCGGTGTGTAAATTTAAGGCAACTAATTACTACTGAGCAGACAAGCCAAACCCAAAACCCAAGCAGTCTGCAATATCATTTACAACTTGCCCCTAAACACTGCTCATTAACACAAATCTGCATCAAGTGTTGAACCAACAACACACAAGTAAAATGATTCTTAGAGTGGAGATAAAATATCATTCAGCAGGATTTACAATTAACCTTTAAATTAAAGTTTTATATTAAGTCTTCAACTTAAAATAATCATGTTACAGAATATTTATTAACAATGAAATACATAAAGAATTTACAACCTACAAACCATAACTAATGGTGAATAAAAGTATTATTTTAAATGACTTATTCAATGACATGAAATAATTAAATGTATTTAGTATTGATAAATTTTAAAGCATTTGTGAAATGAGATTCAGTGAACCAGCCCAGCTACTAGATAAGCAAGTTATTTCTTCCATGTGATATGGATACTATGGTAACTTCATGTCCTCATAAATTTAATTAAATAAATTTCTTATTTCATTATTAAATATCTGACTGACTACATTCAAAACTTTTCTAACACATTTCATGATGCAACACAAAATTCTGCAAAGCTGGATATGCTAAGGAGATCATTTTTGCCATGGTTAACTTAGTCAAAAGTTGCTTTATATAGTCAATGTTTGACTGTCTAAATTCATATTTTGAACAGATATTTTCTTTGTCCAGTGCCATAAATTTTCAAAGTTTAGTAAATGCTTGTCCTAAAAATTGTGCATAAAGCATAATCTGATTATCAGGCCAAAAAAATATTTCAAGTTCTTCAAAAATACTTAAGAGAAATTATTTTTGTTTTTAGCTGTAAGACTCTTGAAAAGTTATCTTCCCAACTGTTTATCTAATATGGACAACAATACCTGTAGACCTTCCTTCAAGTGCCTTTATGCTGAAGAAATTAATCCAAAGAACTGAAGTTAATCTCGTTTTCTTTAATCAAACCCAATTACTTTCCATTTCCCGGCACTGTATGACCTTTACAGGTTTAATGCTTGCTAATGAATACAACAATACATGAACACCTCCAGTGAGAGGAGTGTCTTAGTAACTGACACATTACTGACATCTATAGATCAAACTGTATAATTAATTACCTTAAGCATAAATATATCTGGTATAAAGAATAATCTTTATCTTACAACTTAACTGCCTGGAGGATGACTACATCTTCACATCTGCTCATGCTAAACATTTATAACACTTGCTGTGTACTGTTACTCTGTATTGTAAATATCTTGTTAAAATTTTTAAATGTTGCTTAAACATCTTAGCCAAACTGAACTTTTTTTCAGATTTCAGTAGAGAAAGACCAGTGAACAATGGAAATGCATATAGGTTACATAAACAAGTATAATCTTATCTACCAGGAACTGCAATGTATATTACTCATTAGGAATACTGAAATATACAATTAATTACACTAAAAGCTACATAGTAAAAATTAGTTTTTAACTAATCCAAACATGACATTATTGATAAATAAGAATAAACAATAAAATAGGCATGAAGATAAGCAAGCAGGATCATATGTTAGAGTTAAAATACAGTACAAGTTCTTCAAACTTATCAAGCAATAAAGGAAATAAAACAACTGGAGGTCAATACGAGCTGTGGGTAGGATGGGTGGGAGAAGACCGTGCAGTCAGTAGGGTGGGTATTACATAGCCACTGGTTAACATGCACACACCAGTACCTGATGTAATACTCACGCCTCCGTCCCGCCTATTCGCATGCCGCTGATGCAGACATTTCCCTCGCTGGTCTGCCAAAGCTTCTGCCAGACAGTCTTGAGTGGGCTGGCTGGGTCAGCTAGCAGTATACGAGCATGTGGTATGATGGGGAGCTACCATGCTACTAAATGTACAAACCCTCAAATCCAACTTTCTCTCAACTGGCTTATTTTTAACTTTTCTTTTATAAATATAATGAAAGCCCACAAACACTTCTCCAAAACCAAGACTCACCAGACTGGTTTTCAACTTTGCTGGTTTGTCTTGTGGCACCTTGCTATATATATATACATATTTTTTTTTGTAGGTAGTATTAGCATTTCACCCACTGTAATTATGTTGGAGACCTGAAGATAGCCCAAAAGCTAGTAGAGTATTGTAAAAAATATAAAAAAAGCCTGACTGTTGCAAAGAGGCATCTCAAAATGCCTGCAACTGAGGCCTGGAGATATAAGTATTCAGTAAAGAACTTAATGTCAAACATGCTATCAGCATTTGGTCTGTAGCTAGTGCTTGGACAGTAGTAACCAGACATTAAAATGCAGTTGGCATAAATTGTGGCCTGCAACAGAGATGAAGTTAAAAGTTCAGTCTGACTGCATGGTTTCCAGGTTGTTCAGAAGAGGAAGATCACAGAATTGTTGAACTTGACTAAAAACATATCTTGGACCACTGCACAAATGTTAGCTGAAGTTAACAGTAAAGAGAGATTACGAATGTAGTCAACAGAGCCTCACTAGTTCACTCCTTCAATGATGGAGAAATAATGGAGATGATATCACATATTAATTCTAAAAAAAAAAAAAAGTAATGATATGGAGATGGTGCTCAACAGTTTAAAAAAAAGTGCCCCTAAAATATAGACTAGACTTGAGCAAACAATGCTTAGTAGCAGAACATCAGCTTATCTCTGTTTTTAAAATTCAAATTACTCTAACCACAAAGAAGACAAAACACATGAACCAAATGAAGCAACTGATATGTTATTAGAAACCTAGATTTTTTCTTTATTCTTTTAATGAAGTGCTAGACCTATGTGGATTATTCAGCACAAAGAGTGATAGAGGCTTGATCCTCCAGCCAGTAATCAGCCCAGTAATTGTTCCATCAAACTTTTAAAACTCTGCATCTGAAGCTTCACCAACACCAGATATTTCAAAAAAGATCCATCATGCAAGCTGCCCTCATGCCAGATGTAACTTTCCCAGCAGTTTCACTAAGTAATATACTTCTTTTTCAAAGCAGAAATGAAGATGATAAGTATTTGACAAATACATTACAGGTGTTTCTTCTTATTTTACATTCCCAGCCAAACTGGGAAATCCTAAAGACCAGTTCAGACTTAGTCCCAATGGGACCAGATTTCAGGGTTTGTACTTATACAAACAGCATGGAACATACAGGTGTAATTGCCATGCTAAGAATTCAAGAGCAATGTTGATTTTCTAAGTTTTCTCCAGAAAGAGAGGTGAGTAGCCTTGAGATATTACGTTACCTCAACGAGAAAAGCATAAATAATTATTCTTATTATAAAAATAAAAAATCTAGATAATTTCCTGAGTATAACAAAATTTGGAGTAATATATTTAAAAGTTTTCAGTTAGGATGTACAGTAGCTCAAAATAAAAAAAAATTCCATTGTAGGTAGGGTAATGATGAAATGCACTCTCTCTTATAAATGGTATGGCAGTTGCAACCATGCATTAGATCAAAGATGTCATGCATGCTCTCAAATATATCCTGACCATTTATTTATTGTTTTCATGCTAATGATTGCATCATAATACTATACTGTACTTACCATCAATTATAATAAAATTCTTATTGTAGGTTATTTGATTAATAACCTGTTACTATTTTGTGGCACAATTGATTACTTTTAATTACCTATTTGCATTTACAGAGGAATGGAGAGGTGAGCTCAAGGTGTTTGGACTCTCCTCTTAACATTCAACTAGCTGACCAAGCCCTGTCAATATCTGTTTTATGAACCTATGTATGAAATTTGCTGCCAGTCATTCAGTTCATTCCACTTTATTACCACATACAGTATACAGTGATTTGTTTTCTGATATCCATGTGGCTCATTTGAGTATCATGCTTTCTTGTCCTTAAATCCCTGGAAAAGAGCCTGTTCTCACCTATCCTATTTCCTGGAGTAGTACTTTGTATTTATTAATCCTATCACTTCTTGTTCTATGCTCCTCTAGAGACAAGATCCTTGCTTTGGAAGCCTTCCTCATAGGTTAATCCTCTTAGTTCTGGTATTAGTGTGGAGA